TTATACATTTTTCAACAGAAAGACATCGAAATTTGTTGAAAAAACATTTCAAAAAGTTTACTCATATGATGAACAATTTAGGTAAAAATTTAGGTGAATATTTACGTACATTTCAACCTAATTTTTTTTACAGTAAAAGTAAATATTTACGTAATTTTACAAAGATTCGAGACAGAGGGTACTCGGTGCACTCCGTGCACTCGGTGCGCTGCAAGTGCACTCGGTGCACTCGGTGCACTCGGTGCACTCGGTGCGCACACTGTGCGCAGTCAGTGATCGCAGCCGCAATGCATATTTCTATGTCTCTGAGCCTGTGCTATATAGGTGCAAATGTAGATGCGCATGTAAACACATTGGTAAATTTATGTGTGTGTGTGCAATGTACAGATACATAATATATATATATATTTAATTATATAAAAATATATATCTATCTAACTTAATATATATATATAATTATATATATATATATTCATATATTTTGTATTATTATGTATGGAAACTTGGATGACTTTGGATGTACGGCGGTTGATCTAAATTCTTTCATCTGCAAATGGCCATTCTTCGCGAAAAGTAAATTTACGTTCGCAATTTTTTCGCGAGCCCGCGTTTTTCTCTCGCGTGGTCGCGGCGTTATCTGGGAGACCCAAAGGGTAGGTGCCAGGCCGTGTTTGGATAATTCATGATAGTTCTGCCAGGAATTTCATTGTTTCCAAAAGAAAATAAAAGAAATTTAGAAGTCAAACTTCCGACAATATGGACAGATGGAAAAGCAGAGGTGGGAAGAGTCAGAGAAGAGAAGAGAAGAAGAGAGAAGATCAGAGAAGAGAAAGAGTCAGAAGAAACAAGATGCAGGTGCGCAAAGAAAAGTCGCGATGCACTGTATTTTTCGCATGATTTGTTGCCCTGGAGGGTCGCAAAGTAGGCTCGCTACAGCGGCGGGTGCGGAGCCATCTAACCAGATGAGAAATGAAAAATTGCACGCCGTTGTGGTGCGAAGCACATTTCGAATTCAAAATGTACAAAGCACATCAGCTTCGGCGCACTTTTAGGAATTGAGATGTCGAAAAAGTGCACGTCGTTGTGGCGCGAAGCACATGTCGAAGTAAAAAAACGCACCAACGTCGGAGCAGTTTTGGGAGTTGAGTGAGATGTCGAAAAAGTGCACGGCGTTGTGGCGCGAAGCACGTTTCGAAAAAAAATGAAGGGTTCGGAGCAGTTTTGGACGTTCAGATGTCGTTTCGTGTGGCAGGCGTACGGGATTCTGCATCTTGGTAAAAGTGAGCAAAACGTGAGGGTTTTGTAGCCGTTTCAAAAAAGTTGGCAGACGTGGGACATTTGAAGAGGATCCGCAAAGATGCATGTCGCGTGGCAGGCGCAGTACAAGAAGCATGTTCATTAGAGATGTTAGGAGGTCAGGGCGTTGATTTCTTGAGAAAGGTTGCACTTTGGAGCATCAGATCTTCAGGTTTGCTAAGATGATTTTGCGCGACAGGTGCTGCACTTCGTATGACCTGGCCGAACTTTTTCGTGGCAGGTGCAGTATTTTGAACAGATGGAATGGAAAAAACGTAAGAGGCATTGGTACGAGGCCGTCGGCTCTGCACTCAACTTTCCATTTTTAAAGGAAGTCTCGCGCAATTGCTTCGTTTGTGATGTCGTCAATGTAGAAAATTGGGGAAGTCTCGCAGAATTGCTTCGTTTTTGACGTGGCCACGATCAAAAACTGAGGAAGTCTCGCAAAATTGCTACGTTTTTTGATGTTGCCAAAGTCACAAAGTGAAGTCTCGCAAAATAGCTTCGTTTTCAAGCTTGCAGATAGACAGAAAGAAAGATAGATATACAACTGCAACTACCACTAAAACTACCACTACACTACACTACTACTACAACTACAAATGCAATACATTACACTACACTAATTAGACTACACTACACGAACACCACCACCACCACCAGCAGCAACAACAACAACAACAACAACTACTACTACTATTACTACTACTGCTACTGCTACTGCTACTACTACTACAGCTGCAGCTGCAACTACAATTACAACTGCAACTGCGACTGCAACTACCACTACATTGCACTACTGTACACTAGACTACACTACTCTACACTAATTACACTACACTACAACTACAACTATTCTCCTTTACACTACTTTGCACTACACTACACCCCAACTACAACTACAGTACGCTACACTACACTACATTACACTACACTAATACACCACACCACAACTACAAGTGCGACTGCAGCTACGCTACACGAAACGAACTACACTACAGCTACAACTGCGCTACACCACACTACATCCAGCATTTGTGGTGAGGTGACCACTGCAACCATTGCAGCCACTTCAGAAAACACAACTCCAACCGACTTTCGGTCCATCAGTGGATTCGCTCTGCCATCCGTGATTCACAACAACCAACCTCTCCTATAGTGTCCTATCTTTGAAACTTTGCCACAGCCTTGTGCGGTACTACTGGTATGACTTACGGTATGTATATATATATAAATATATTTATATATATGTCAATAGATGTTGAATATAATATATAAATATTGAATTTGATATATTTATAAATAAATAAATAAATATATATATATATTCATTTAATTATATATATATTTAAATATCTATACATCTTGAATATAATATATATTTATATTTAATATAATATATGTATATTATACAAAAAATAAGCAGTATAATATATATATATATATAACATGTACCTAATATATTTTTATATAATATATAAAATATATAAAAGAATCTATATATGTTTATTTGGCACGCTATTTTTGCCCTTGTACAAGGACTGTTATTGCTTGCCCAGGTCCTGTTTGGCCACTCCCTTGGTTCCACGCGATTGCATTTGTTTCAAGAAGCGCGAACGGTAACCCGCCATGCGCTCTATAAAGATTTTCCTGAACCAGGACAGGGTGGGGTACCATGGTTCCGGTCAGATCTCTTCACATTAAAACCTGTACGTGGTGGTTGTAATGGCGCGTCGCATTTCTCAACATTTTCAAAACTCATGTTTTGATCCTTGCAGGAGATTCGACACAGGTCGAAACCGAAACCATTGGGATTGTCCGTCGTTTGCCACACCCTTCGGGCAAGAGGTACCGCTTGGTGTTTGTCTTCAGCACCCCAGAAGACAATTTCCCAGGCAGTTCCTTATGTGACCAACACTTGCCTGCTTTCACTGACATGTTCCGCAACATGTTCGAGAGGGTGGTGAATGGCCCTGGTTTTCTTGACATGCGGGGCATTGATGCAAAGATGTATTTGGTCCTGTCCATGCGGGCCTTCAATCGTGGGCCGCCGATGATTCCCCACGACAATCCTTGCTCAGAGGAATCGTTCAACATGTCGGCTGGCGAACACCTTGGCTTGGTGTCTTGGACCCGTTTCAAACCTGATGAAAAATTCTACTTGAGTGAGTACATGCGGGTCTTCATGGAGCGGCTGGGGTACCAGTTGAAGATCTATGGGGTCATGGACGGTCGTAAACTTGTCCCCTACCAGTGCGTCGTTGTGCGGTCGGAGTGGGACCAGTCGAGAGCATCTTTCTATGAAGCTTTCAAGGTGCAGAAAGCAGCTTACCGCCGTGCCAATGGGGGACCCAAAAGCCCGAACTTGATTGAAGCTGGGTCGTGTTTCAAAGGCCGTGTCACACACACACGTACATGTGTATATACGCGCGCACACACATAAATATATCTATGTACACATGTAATATTTCTTACACGTACATGTTCTTATTTCTATTTCTTTCGGATGACAAACCGAATTCGAATTGCCGTGTTTTCTTTGTCATGTTTCGACCCTGTTGAAAACCCCAGGAAGATCTGGCTCCCCATTTCTTGCCTGGTGTCCATCAACGTGATACCGATTCCCAGATCTCTACGCCCAAGCAACATACCACGGTGCGCAAGACTTTCGTGGAGCTCGACGAAGAGAACGACATGGGCAAACCCAAGTTGCCCAAGCAGCTGAAACGCAGCATTTCTACCGGGGAAGTCATGACTTGCTTTGTGTAGGGATTAATTTGGCACCTTGCCAGCGTGTAGAGTGACTATGGCTTTGACTGACTCTAGATGATGTAGATGGCAAGGAAACACGGCAAACCATTTCAAGTGGGACCATGGTGGCGAAGAGCGTGTAGAGTGACTATGGCTTTGACTGACTCTAGATGATGTAGATGGCAAGGAAACACGGCAAACCATTTCAAGTGGGACCATGGTGGCGAAGAATTCATCTCGTACCATTGGATGGAAGGTAAACTCCAACATCTGCCAATAGGCCAAAGTAGATGCACTTGTACAGCCAGGGGTGCGCGGAGGACATGAGACCTCCCGTGAGATCCTGTGAAAATTGTGAAGTCAGAGAGAATTGAGGTAGTCAAACTGAGTCAAACCATTAATGTTCACGTGCTATTAATTACCCCGAAACATGATAGGCAGCAAAATAATATTGAGGCCAAACGATGGCCTGGGGTCCCTGGAAATTTTCCAGCCCGAGTGGCGTTGGTCATGTACCTGTCTTGATTCATGTCCAGCTTTGCTGATTGTTGTGTGGATCCTACTGGATTGGTCAGGGCCACTTGGATTTTGACAGGTGCTGCTGTTGTTTCGCCGTTTCTCCAGAATTAGGTGGTGTTCAGGGTGTCTTTTGGGAGTGTTTTGCAGGGTAATGTACCAGGTCGCAAATGGGTGACGCTGGGGTATCGATCCCCCCCCTGGTCCGTGATATTGCGGCTAAATAGGCAGACAAATATTGGGGCTAAATAAGTAGACAAATAGATCAATAGATAGGCACATGGGTACACAGATAGATAGATGTGTAAGTAGATGAAAAGAAAGATCGGTAGATAGATGGAGGGATAGATCGCTAGAAATGAGACATGGAGAGGTAGAGAGGTGTGAGAGAGAGATCGATGGATGGATAGATGGATGGATGGATGGATGGATAGACGATAGATAGATAGATAGATAGATAGATAGATAGATAGATGGAGAGTAGATCGAGAGAGGGAATTTATCGATAGCTAGATCGATCGATAGATGGATAGACAAACAGATAGATAGATATCTAGATAGCTAGATGGCTAGATCGATAGATCGATAGATAGATAGATAGACAGATAGATAGATAGATAGATAGATGGACAGAGGTCAAAGAACTTTGTTGGCAGCAAGCTTCAATGACAAGCTGACATAGAGCTATGCCGTTCCTTTTGCTTGAGAGACTGTGTTTTGCGCTGGCAGTTGGTAGTTATGCTTGCAGACTTTGAGTGGGAGAAGGGGCCGTAGAGACGGGTACTATCCAGGCTGCGCTTTGAGAGACAGCGGCAAATGCGATGTGGTTTGCTGAACGAGGACCGTCATGTCATCTGTCTTGTGCTACAAGCGTACGACAGCTAGAGAGCTAGATGTGAGATGGAGACATGGACAAGTGGATAAAGGCGTCCGCATATGGTGAGAACAAGAAACATGACAGATGTAATGCTAAGGAGAAGCGGCAGAATCAAAGCCGGCCTTGAAGAACGCATGCTTAACAGATTTCGTATTTTGTTCAGAGAAAGATTACAGATGCAATGATAAGCAGATGCTGCGGTCTAACAGAACTGTAGCAGAGCAGGACATTTCCTTTTGGCCTTTGGCAGCTCTGCTATGGAATAGTGTCAGTGTCACATGCGATATCGTTTGCAGACCGTGGACCGTAACGTCATCAGACCGTGGACCGTAACGTCATCTGTTTCTGACGATACACGTTGATACAACTGGGATCATCTGGGATCGTGGAAAAATACCATGGTCCGTGGCAGATACTTTTGCGAAGTACAGAACGCTATCATCGTGCAGCGTACAAATGGATATGGAAACAGAAACCAAGAACCAAATCTAGAGTCTGCATGTTTAGATCACGGCCATGTTAAGCCGTGTTAGGCCTATGTGGGACCTACGTTAGGCTTATGTTGGTCCATGTTGGGCTCTTAGACGCCATGTTGGGGCCATATTCGTGCCATGTTGAGCTTATGTTAAGCCAAGAACGGCGTGTTCCTTTTAAGCCTTTACCCGGCCCAAAAGGAACACATCTTTTTTGGATCATGTCGGGGCCATGTTGGGCGTATACGGAGCCTATATGAGCCTATGTTGGGCCTATGTTGATCCCATGTTAGGCTCTTGGAGGCTATGTTGGGGCCATGTTCGAGCCGTGTTGGGCTTATGTTAAGCCAAGAATGGCGTGTTCCTTTTAAGAACTCCAATTTTGAAGGTGTTACGCGCTGGAATTGGCTGCGGCAGGGTATCGATTCCCCCTCCGTCCGGTTTCTAGCCAGTGAAACAAATAGATGGAGAAAAGTATATTGCTCGAGAGACTGAAGATACGTAAGCCACCCCAGAGTGTTTGCCACAAAACTTTCTGTGCAGTTGGGGCTACGCCACAAGTGGAGGATTTCAATGTTGAAGGTCTTACACGCCGGCAATTTGCTGTGAGCAGGGGTTTTCATTATCAGAGCTGCCTTTCGTTCCTCCCTTCTCAGGTTAAGGCGTGCACATGATATGCATAGATGGGACAGGTTCCAGGTCATGTTTCAATCCTCCTAAGTTATCGGCGCAGCATTTGGCGCTCGGCATTTCTCAGAGGCTCCCCTGAGCTGCGAAATGGCAAGTGCCGCTGTGAAGTTACCTCCAGGAGCCCCGGAACCATTCAAAACCATTCGCGTCTAGTGCGTCGTACCGATTGGGTAAAAGATGGTGGATACGTGTATGATGTGTGCCCATGCGTTTATATGGATGTAAATTTGTACGGATACTGGACAAGTAATGAGTTGGTGAGTGTTCCCTTTCGTGGACGGCTCTCTTGCGAGCTTTGTGTGACAGTTGCATCATCCTTTGCAGCACCAGGGGTTTCTTTGCTTTTGCAGCCCAAGGGCCGGTCAAACTTGCGCCAGAAACAATAGCCTGACATGATGGACCCTGAAGAATTTTGGTGTTGGTATGTACCAAAAGGCAAACACCAGTGTCAGAATTGACCATGACTGGGGAAACTTTGGGCAGATCAGCCCTTCAGCAGCACGGGGCTATCAGACAGCAATCAGCTACACCAAGCCCCGCCTCAACCGCCAGGTGTTCTGTGATAAGATCTTGTTGAGATCCTGCTGAAATCTTCTTAGAATCTCTCAGAGGTCCTTCTGTGAAGGCCTCCAAGATCCTCCAAGACATCGTGCTAGAGGTGCTTGTGCGAAGGCTCTTGTGGCATGCTCTTTGTCAATATCTCGCCAGATCTTCTGCAAGGTCTTTCCATGCCTATCAGCCTATGGTAATCTTGTGACACTCTCGTAGCGATCCTGGCATTGAGATCTTGTAGAGGTCTTTGTACGAAGATCTTGCGGAGATCCTGGCCAATCCCCTTCGAATCTTTTTCGTCTTTGAGAGGTCCTTCTGTGTCGGCTTCGAAGACATCTAGAGGTGCTTGTGTGAAAGGCGGCTCTTGTGTCATGCTCTTGGGGTTCTTGTTTGAAGATCTTCTGAGATCCTCCACCAGGTCCTTCTGTGTCTATGACGATCTTGCGAGATTCCGCCAGGGTTCCCGGTATGAAGATCTTGTAGGAGGTTCTTGTCTAAAGGTTTTGTCAGCAGGTGTTCCCACCAACACTTTGGGACCTCTTGCTGGGATAATTTGTGCTGCGAGATTCCAGGGATGAGACATGATGAGACCAGTTTTTACTTGGAATTGCCGTTGGCAAGCAGTTTCCCTCACGTGGCTTTGGCCCAAGACGAGAGTGGTTTGGTGGCCAACCCTTTTCAACGGTGTAGCATGACTGAAGATCACAGCGACTGGCTGAATTTTGCGGCTTCCTGTATGTCCGATGTACAGTGGGAGGTGGCTGCAATCCGACCAGAAGCAGTGCTCTCGCATCGCTCGTGCCCTTGGGGTGGCCATTTGATCAAGTTGGAGGCAAAGACACTTAGTCAATTTTTCGCCATCCCAGTGATTGCCACCCCCGAAGGTACATGTTCGCTTTCTCATGTTTTCCCAGCAAACTTGCGATACCGTCAGCCCTGAATTAAGTGACTTTGGTTGACCAATTCAATCATACTGGAGCACTGTGCCTTAGGGCCATAGGGTTCACCAAAAAAATCGGGGGACACACATGGACACCCAACTGTTCTTTGTACATGCTGGGTGAACCAGCTTCTCCTCCTCATTGGCGCACCGGAAAACGCTTACAGGAAACATTCCTCCTGTGGCTGGTAAATCAGCGTAAATCCCCGGTTTCTTTTTGATTTTCGCCGAGACCGAGTGACCTGAGGAATGTCTTCATCCAGAATGCTCCCGCAGATCCTGCCAATCTGTTTGTACGCCCTGAAGTGCGGGATATGTCTCCGGGGAAGTCCAGGGCGGACTTCTCGTGGCGGTGCCTGGAGACTTACGCGCCCGGAGATGCCTTGGTGGAGTGTACCAATTGCTGGTCCACGCGCTTATTCTCGGTGCCTCGGAAGGGACCGTGGAACAATTTGTTAATGGAGGGGCGCGTGCCAATTTTCATAGACTCTATATGCATGTGTATAACTATAACTGTGTATGATTTTGTTTGTATATATAACTGTAACGAATTCCGACATAATAATAACAACAATAATAGCAATAATACTGACAATCATAATAATTATTAACAATATATAAGAACTAGAACAATAGTAATTATTAATGAAAATGGTAACAATAACAGCAATAAAAACTACAGCAATAACAATTACAGCAATAACAGTACTAAATAAATAAATACACACACACATATATACATATATAAATGTAATAATGATATATATATATATATATATAGTAGTATGAATTTATCACCCATGAATTAGGGGCAATTAGCCCCCCCCAACCCGGACAAGCCTTCAATTTCAGATGAGACGTAGAACATGAGCTGCGGACAAAACTCAGACATAGACAGACACACATACTCTCATACTTTTATACGTACTTACGTGCGATATATTCTTATGAGAAGTTTGGAGTCACAGACACAGGAAAGTCAAAACATGTTTTTCATTTTTTCGTTTTGGCTTTCATGGCGTTTATCATTTTCGTTTTCATTGTTTTTAATTTTAGAATTTTGTTTTCATTGTTTCATTTCTAAATTGTGTTTTTAATTTCAAAATGTGGTTTCCGTTTTTGTTTTCATGTTTTCATGTCGTTCATTAACTTATCCCAGCTGCATTTTCCATTCCTGGATCTGTTGGCGCCATTTTGCGTCTTGGGCCAAAGGTTAAAAAGGTCCTTAGATCCCACGTCCAGGGTCCCAGGACCCAGGCTTCCGGATGTGGGCCGCGGTGGTCCCCAGCTAGCACCGGGTACCCAACTAGGAGGTCCCCATTTGGTGGCTCAAATCCCGGAAATTGCCAAACTAAAAAGACTTTAAAAAAAGTTGTTTTTCAGTTTTTCTTTTGTTTCTTCATTTTGTTTCGCCTTCTTTTTCTTGCATTTTTTTCCATCATTGGTGTCTAGAGATCTGTTTCTGAAGATTCTTTCTGTGACGATGTTTGTATTTTTAGCTGCTTGTCTTCAATTTGGTTCTCTTGGCTCGGAAATTTGAACCAGTACGCAAGACATGTACTACTTGTAAAACTGTTGAAAACATGTTAAACCATAGGGAACACATTCAAACCAACCAAAGAAAAACAAATTAGGACATGAACAAAATGAAAGCAAAAAAGCAAATGAAAACCAAAATGAGAAAATGAAAACAAAAATGAACAAAATGAAAACAAACAACGAAATTTTGCAAAATTATAAAACGTGATGAACGAAATAAAACAAAACAAGATGTAAGCCACGAACCCGAATGTATTCACGTTCTTGGACCACGAGTACAAACCTCCGCAATAGGAAAACGAACCTTTTTTTTCTCACGCATCGTGCGCTCACATCGTCTCAGCGAAGGCACCTGATCAACAGTTCACAAAGAGACAACTAACGCACAAAGGCGCGCATGGAAAACATCGCTTGTACATACTTCCCCTGTTACCAGTCTGCCGTGTAGAGTGTAAAGTGTAGAGTGTGGAGTGTGGAGTGGAAAGTGTAGAGTGTGGAATGTGGAGTGTAAAGTAAGGAGTGTGGAGTGTACAGTGTGGAGTGGGGAGTGTAGAGTGTGTAGAGTGTGGAGTGTCTGGAGGATGTAGAGTGTAAAGTGTAGGACGTCCCAGTACTACTTTTTACTACAAAGCTTGCAGAAACTACTTCCCAGTACTACTTTGTACTACAAAGCTTGCACAAAGTCGTTCCCAGTACTACTTTGTACTACAAAGTTTGCACAAACTACTTCCCAGTACTACTTTGTACTTTGTACTACAAAGCTTGCACAAAGCACGTTCCAGTACGACTTTGTACTACAAAGCTTGCACAAAGCACTTCCAAGTACTACTTTGTACTACAAAGCTTGCACAACGCACTTCCCAGTACTACTTTGTACCACAAAGCTTGCACAAAGCACTTCCCAGTACTACTTTGAACTACACAGCTTGCACAAAGCACTTCCCAGTACTACTTTTTACTACAAAGCTTGCAGAAACTACTTCCCAGTACTACTTTGTACTACAAAGCTTGCACAAAGTCGTTCCCAGTACTACTTTGTACTACAAAGTTTGCACAAACTACTTCCCAGTACTACTTTGTACTTTGTACTACAAAGCTTGCACAAAGCACGTTCCAGTACGACTTTGTACTACAAAGCTTGCACAAAGCACTTCCAAGTACTACTTTGTACTACAAAGCTTGCACAACGCACTTCCCAGTACTACTTTGTACCACAAAGCTTGCACAAAGCACTTCCCAGTACTACTTTGAACTACACAGCTTGCACAAAGCACTTCCCAGCACTACTTTTTACTACAAAGCTTGCAGAAACTACTTCCCAGTACTACTTTGTACTACAAAGCTTGCACAAAGTCGTTCCCAGTACTACTTTGTACTACAAAGCTTGCACAAAGTACTTCCCAGTACTACTTTGGTTACCACACAGCTTGCACAAAGCACTTCCCAGTACTACTTTGTACTACAAAGCTTGCCCAAGCCACGTTCCAGTACTACTTTGTACTACAAAGCTTGCACAAAGCACTTCCCAGTACTACTTTGTACCACAAAGCTTGCACAAAGCACTTCCTAGTACTACTTATTACTACAAAGCTTGCACAAAGCACTTCCCAGTACTACTTTGTACCACAAAGCTTGCAAGTAGCACTTCCCAGTACTACTTTGTACTACAAAGCTTGCACAAAGTTCTTCGCAGTACTACTTTGTACTACAAAACTTGCAGAAACTACTTCCCAGTACTACTTTGTACTACAAAGCTTGCACAAAGTCGTTCCCAGTGCTACTTTGTACTACAAAGCTTGCACAAAGCGCTTCCCAGTACTACTTTGTACTACAAAGCTTGCACAAACTACTTCCCAGTACTACTTTGTACTACAAAGCTTGCACAAAGCACGTTCCAGTACGACTTTGTACTACAAAGTTTGCACAAACTACTTCCCAGTTCTACTTTGTACCACAAAGCTTGCACAAAGCACTTCCTAGTACTATTTTGTGCTACACAGCTTGCACAAAGCACTTCCCAGTACTACTTTTTACTACAAAGCTTGCACAAAGCACTTCCCAGTACTACTTTGGTTACTACACAGCTTGCACAAAGCACTTCCCAGTACTACTTTGTACTACAAAGCTTGCACAAAGCACTTCCAGTACTACTTTGTACTACAAAGCTTGCACAAAGCACTTCCCAGTACTACTTTGTACTACAAAGCTTGCACAAAGCACTTCCCAGTACTACTTTGTACTACAAAGCTTGCACAAAGCACTTCCTAGTATTACTTTGTACTACAAAGCTTGCACAAAGTTCCCAGTACTACTTTGTACTACACAAAGCTTGCACAAAGCACTTCCCAGTACTACTTTGTACTACAAAGCTTGCACAAAGCACTTCCCAGTACTACTTTGTACTACAAAGCTTGCACAAAGCACTTCCCTGCCACGCAAAACGGCATGACAACCTGCTTGGAAACCCTCAAAAAGGAGAGGTTTCGCAGCTTCCCCCATAGACGCGACGACGACGCGACGACGACGCGACGAGCAACTCAAGGCGAACAAGGGTCCAGCCCCCAGACCCCCAGACTATAAACGGGAACCCTTCGTGACGCATTCGGGAAAAACATCATGAAAAAAAAACTTTTCCAGTCCCCAGCTTCCCCGGCAATAATATATAATAATAATAATATATATATATATATATATTTTTTAATAAACCATACCCATACTTTCTCATGTATAGTATCTCTCCTTTCTAGGTCACTTTCTAATGTTGTTTACTTTTGGCTCAAGATGTCAAAAAAGGGCCCGCTGCCCCTTGGTGTCGCTGTGTTTGTTTTCTTGCGCTTTTGGGGGAGTTAATCAACGTGTCAACTGGTTATCGTCCGCATTGGCTTTTTGATTGTTGGTGCTTGTGTGTTTTGAACCCCAAAATCAAATTTCACACAGCGGTGGGGTGCCGTAAAGTTTGAAACGCGCATGGATCCCCGCCTTTGCTGTTGAAAGCTCACGACATCATTGATTGAGTTCATCATAGTTTTTGCCTAAGCTCTGTTTTCTGCACTGCTTGGTTTTAAGATCCCCCTTGGTTGAAGCCCTATTGAATGGAAGAACCCATGTCCCGCATGAAATGGAAAAACCAGGATCATTTCATAAACGGCCCATTTCGGAAAACTGAGCAAAAAACCTTTAAATTTTGGTGCCATGTTGGGCCATCCATTTCATACAAGGGGGGGTGGTGAATCCACTACTATATAAAGCTGTAGTTTTCTTTGGACCCAGTAGCCCCAAAATTGGCGTTTCCATAATATAAATGTTACTCTTTTTTCCACACCTGCCAGGCGAGGGTTGTTAGATTTTCTCAGAGTTGTTCTCCTCCTTCTCCTTCTCCTTCTCCTTCTCCTTCTCCTCCTCCTCCTTCTTCTCCTTCTCCTCCTCCTTCTCCTCCACCACCTCACCCTTCACTTCCATGTCCACTTCCGCCTTGCCAACTCTTCGCCAAGCTCTTCGCCAAGCTCTTCGCCAACTTCCGCACGCAGTGGCCACTGCTGGACCTCAACTGCAAGGGTGTGAGCGCACTGGGCACCGCTGGACCTCAACCTGGGACCTTCCGAGCTCAGTGAGCACCGCTGGACCTCAACCTGGGACCGTCCGAGCTCAGTGAGCACCGCTGGACCGCAACCTGGGACCCTCCGAGCTCAGTGAGCACTGCTGGACCTCAACCTGGGACCCTCCGAGCTCAGTGAGCACCGCTGGACCTCAACGGCCAGATAGAATGCCAGAAGATATGCCAGATAGAACGCCCGATAGAATGTCAGATAGAATGCCAGAAGATATGCCAGATAAAGTGCCAGAATGTTTGCCAGATAAAATGCCAGAAGATATGCCAGATAGAATGCCAGAAGGTATGCCAGATAGAATGTCAGATAGAATGCCAGAAGGTATGCCAGATAAAGTGCCAGAATGTTTGCCAGAACATATGCCAGAAGATTTGCCAGATAGAACGCCAGATAGAATGTCAGAAAGAATGCCAGAAGATATGCCAGATAAAGTGCCAGAATGTTTGCCAGATAGAATGCCAGAAGATATGTCAGATAGAATGCCAGAAGGTATGCCAGATAGAATGCCAGAAGGTATGCCAGATAAAGTGCCAGAACATATGCCAGAAGATTTGCCAGATAGAATGCCAGATAGAATGTCAGAAGATATGCCACATAGAGTGCCAGAAGATATGCCAGAACATATTGCAGAAGATATGCCAGGTAGAATGCCAGAAGATAATAGAAGATATGCCAGATAGAATGCCAGAAGATATGCCAGATAAAATGCCAGTAGATATGCCAGATAAAGTGCCAGAAGATTTGCCGGTAACAAAACGTATAGATGTCATGTTGGGGATAACTCGAGGTAAAGTAATTTATATAATCATTTTTTATGTGGTCTGGAATATGGTTACCATAATATAAAAGTAATCAGGTCGGATGGAGAATCATTAAAATTCAATCAGCGTTGATGTGTCAATTATGTAGCCTTCCATTTCAAAACAATGATGGTCCACCTGCCTTTGTGATCCATTGGGGTTTCGGTTCTGGATCTTGGGCCCCCAAATGGGTTTTATGAAATGGAACGTCTTGAAATATAACATAAACCCAATTCGAATTTGATTGGGAACACCTGATAGCAGTTCCATTTTATAGAAGGGGAACTTCACAAGCACCTATGTTGTTTATAAAACGGATGGTTCGAGTGTGATAACGTCTCCTAACATAAGCAGTAAAGATATCTTCGAACGACCCCCTCAAGATGCAACCCGTTCCACAATATATAAATCAAATTTTCTTGGTTTCAAGATTTCTTTTTACGCCATTTCCATAACATAGTGAGGGGGCATTTTTTTGCATATCCGGTCCTTTGGGTAGCACAACAGTGATATTCCATAATATAAAACACCCAAAAAGGATCCATTCCATAAAAAAAAACCCGCCCCACGACTACACAAACCAAATTTTTATGGAATTGTGGGGTAAGGGTGCTTACCCATCAACCAAGGGGGATGTTTTAAGCATTCTGGACTTACAGGTTTACGTGTCCTTTGCTAAACGGATCTTGCAGGACGTTAGAAGAACATGTCAGAACAGAACTCGTCTTCGTTGAGCCTTTCTTCGGACTCAGTGGATGTTCCTGGTTGTACGGTGACAGCTCATTCATCGGCTAGCCGAAGTTCATCAGAGACTCCCACGGGGCGATCTGCGAAAGCCAATTCAGCAGTTTTGATCCTGTAAGACGGAACATGTCCGAAGTGATCAAAAGTTTACCGAAGCTTCAAGATAAAGGAGAAAGTGTTGCAGCTGTTCCCTCAGTCCATGCAGCCGGTTCGATATCACAGTCTTCACAATTCCCATCAGACGATCCATCAATGCGACCTAAAGTTTCGGTTCACAACGTCATGGAGCTTCAAGACCAAAGGTCTCAGCAGTTGAATGTTGGGGTTGAGTCATTGGTTTTTGCAAACATGGTGGCAGAACCCCGTAGGATCATACAAGAGTGTGAAGACAAAGTTCAGGGTTTGGGTTTGGAGATATAGGCAGGCTTGTGTTCGCATCCAAGAACTTGTGAGCGTTGCTGAGGGTTTGTATCACACCAATTGCAATGAGGCCTCTAGCATGGATCAGCTTTCTATGGAAGTCCAGTCAGCTCGAGCTCAGCTTGAAGACCAAATCCATCAGAATAAGTTCATGATGAATATCCTGAATCAGAATCAAAGCATGATGTTGCAACTTTTCCACACCGAGCCCAGGACGTCAAATGTCCAGAACCTGCTCGGCCACAAAGATGCAGAGCTTTCCAGTTTGATGGCTGAAGTGACTTTGCTACAGTCCAACAATGCCCGGCTTAAGGAGAGTGTTTGCGCTAAGCACCGCTCCAACTGTCGCGGCGTGTGCTGGAGTGCAGGTATAGCAGGTTTCTCCGAGTTGTGATGTCGCCGGGCCCAATACTTCTGATGGTGTCGTTGGCCATTGGTCTTTTTTGAGCGACGCATGGACTCCATGATGATGTATGCCGTTCAGAGTTTATTGGACAGACCGAGAAACATTGTGCATAGTGGCATGGACCCAAACACAGGAAACCCCAATTCTGGCAATCCACCTCCCACCTTCAGGTCTTCAAATGCCACCTGGATTTCCTTGACCCCCGCCGGATGAATGTGACTGACCTGATGATGAGGAGGGTGAATCAGATGAGATGGTAGCTGAAGATAAATCTTGAAGGGATACTGAAAATTCCTGTGCGCTGCAGGAGCGGAGTTGGAACTTGTTCCTAGCATTGGAGCCGATTTCCGGTTGTGGAAAACACACCGATGTTGATGTTGGGTCGTTTGGATATCAGCGGAATCGACTATTTGACTTCATCGGTTAACCAGGCCTTCAGAGCAGACTCAGCGCAGCAATGTGCGGACTCCTCAGGTTTGGTCCGCAGGTTAAATCGTGGGTTGGCGTCGGAATTGATCAAGAGCATGAAGAGCGTGCCAGAATTTCAGTTTAAGGTTCAGGGTTATGTCGAAAGCTGCGCTCGACAGGGAGTAGCTCCTCGTGGCAGAGCCGTTGTTCACATGATTTTTGACCTTGATCGCGTCCGAGGGTCGCTGCTTACTCAGCCAGTGTTTTTGGTTGAATTGAATGGACGGATACTCAGTGTCCGATTTGCAGGTTTTCTCGTCCAACCTCATGACTTATCTCAATTAAATGCCAACGGAACAATGGCCCAACCAAAGGATGCTTGAGAATTCCTTCTGCGATCTCAGGACTGTTCGTCGTTTGGAAAGAGTGATTGATAAAATCAAAAATTCCATTGAAAACCCCATGAGGGGGGAATTTGACTATTTGTCGGATAAGTTGCAGGAGTTCTGGGTGCAGTGCAGGAACGTGAGGATTTGAACGCCCGTTCAAAAGGACAGTCCTTGCGAAGCCCCAAGAAGGACAATCAGCTCAAGCGGAGAGCCCCTGTGGTGACCGGTTACTCCTCCCGTAGCTGCAGCGGTTAGCGCGCCGAAACCTAAAGGTGGTCCAAATTCAAGTAGCTTTCAGTGATGAACGACTTGTTGGTTGCAATTCGCCAGCAGGGGGGATGGCTTGTGTTGGAAGTTTCCTGTGACGCAAGTAAGTTGTAAAAGGATGCGCCGCTCTAAGAGCGCAGCCGCATGATCTTTCAAAGATCATTCGTGGGTTGCCCCAGTCCTGGATATATTGGCCGGCATCTTGAGTGTCGGCTGTTAAACAACTTGATGAGGTGATCCCATCAAACTAGTTGGTCCTTCTTTTGCGATGGCCAACTTTTACCTGTCGCTTGGTTCGACGGGTAAGTCCTGTCGTAGATGACCAGCGCATTCTGTTCCCTAAGCCTGGTTTATGCAAGCTTGTGTCTCTGTAGGACTCTCTAAAGCCTTGTTGACTAAGCCAACATCCCCATAGAGCTCAGGTGGATTTTGTGTACGGGCCGTCACTAAGTTTCAGCCTGAACTTCCTTGACCTTAAAGCAGCGGCTTCACAGTGGCTTGTACTAAGTATATTGTCCACTTTACATTCATGATGCCCTTCGGTTTTGTGCCAATGGCCGAGATTTCCATCTACTGCTTAAAGTTTCAAGTAAGCCGTTCTTTGCTAGCTTCGTTTGCAGTTCGATCCACTGGATTTTTGCCCAGCGATGTCCTTGGATTTCTTTGGACTTTCACTGTCTTTCTTCAGCCTTGTGTTCGCGCCTACTGGGGTCTGGCTGCATCCGTTCTGGATTTCATGCATCGGGTAGGCATTCGCTATAGGTTGCACGGTAGCGTGAGTTTCCAAGACTTGCATGTCACAGAGATTTTGTGAAGAGTTTAGC